AAGGCGTGTGCCGCTCTATGCTCACGATACACAATGCTTCTGACTGCCATAAAAACGCGTTCTATACGTATGGAATAAATTGATCGATGCGAAGCTTCGGATCAGAGGCACACATGTACAATGACGCGAATTGTGGGATTACTAAAATTTGAAGTAGTTGATGTTTCGCCGCCATTAGTAAGAAATAGAAATCTATTAAAAACCTCGACTTTAAATATATTGCTGTTAAGAAAATGAATAGAAGTTCATTTCTTTCAAGGTGTCAAGGTAGTTTAATGAGTTCAGTATACCAGGGCGTGTGTTTTTTCGATAGCACAATTTGAACAGTCTTTTATTTTTAGATAATTAGACATCTCAAAGCAAATTATACAGATCACTTGAAAACGTAGTGAAGGTGATTATAACCAATTGTATGTATTCTTTCATATTTCATAACATTACCTAGACATAAAGTTCAATAAAAGCTAAGTTTAAACATTTTGTATCAGCACTGTTCTAAGTTACATGTTACCTTCTTAATATTCCAAGAATTTGAAGGTCCTTTTCACTTCTTTCATTAAGTTATGTACGAATATTACAGGCGCGTATCGAAGAAATTTAATTGACAAAAATGTCGACAATCGATTAACTATCATGCCAAATACATGGCAGAAGTTTGCTGCACAATAAATATAGTACAAATGTTGGAGGCAGGTATTGTGAGGTACAGAAAGCCTCAATATTGTATTGAAATATGACACTTATATTTATTCTAGAAAAATACAACAAATTATACAAACAAGTGGCATAATTTCCCTGAATATTTGTCCACACCATTTCAAAACGTACTATACCTTCATTTGATTAGAATTTATTAATATTTCTGAAATTAATTTGAATTAGCTTTCCTGATAGTCTTAAAATGACAATTGGAACATGGTTTCTAATTTCTTACGTGTCATTGAAGCCATAAACATGTGTGAGAGCAGAGTTATTATGGAAATAAACAGACTTCATTGTCAAAGTAGCTATTAATTGGAAAGTAAATAAGCATTAACGACTTACTATTGACATAAAGACATAAAAGTACAATAATCATATTGCATAACACCTAATTTTGTCAGCAGAATGGGGAACGAGTGTTAAAAGAATAACAAAACTCAGAGATAATCGGTTAAATGAAAAATGAGGTTGAATTTAACTACATTGCCCTTCTGTGGGCAATTATAGAGGGTAATAAAGAATGTAGATAATTTTCTATTTTTGCAATATGAGCTGCCAGTGCCAAGCGAAAAGTTGAGGCGCCTACGCCACAATACCGACATCAATATTTTAAAATTGGACTTGACCCAAATTGTGGCAGATGTCAGTTGTTCTTGCATGTTGCATTCAACTATTTGCAGTCGGCTAAGTAACGATTATATCTGTCTATATTTAGGAAATTTCAGGTGATGTTTTTTTACCTGTACGGAAGAGCGGCACTTCGAATATACTAATAGTAATATAAAACGTGGTGCCTTTAGAGAAATTATTTAATTAGTCTGTGACATTGAGATAAGTCAGGTTGAGCTAATCGAGCAAAAATTATAAATAAATATGACTCAGTTGCTGTTACCGGGGAAAATTATGTGTTGGTAAACAGTTTTTTTGCGTTTGCTTGCCATCATTATGTAATTTTAATATGCTGAATAAGGAATAAGGAAATTTACAGCAATTATTTGTTAAAAATCAAGTTCAAAGACATGTTACTCTATGTGAATAAATAATTATAACACGAGTAGATATGCGAAGAAAATTGAGACGAATTTAAATAGAAAATTGTTATTTTTTCCAAAATATAATTTTTCTTTACGGCAAATGTTATTTTCTTGGCGTGATAAAATATTAACTAATGTTTCGTTACGATCTCAAACTGTAGCTAAAAACCGATTTTAGGAATGAATTTATGGACATGGACATGGTCAAAAATTTTTTTAGTAAAAATGTTCATGAGCTTTAAAAATCTCAAAAAAAAGAAAAAGTTTTGGAAATATCAAAATCCTAAAATCTAGGTAGAGACATCCAAAAGTATCTACGTATTTGGAGTTGCTGAAAATGGTAATCTCAGTTTTCCTCTAAGTTTGACAAGAAATCGCAAAGAACAATGAAAAAAGTAGAACTCGTGTTGTAAGAATAAAAAATTACTATATGAAAGAGAGTAGTTTTAATAAACTGAGAGCAGATGGAACTAATTTCCGTGAGAAAAATTTTAAAAAAATTCAGATCTAATTGAATTAGGTACCGTACGCGCTTCAAGTATGGAATAAATTCAGTAAAAACGAAACAAACTTTTTTTGGGAAAAATCCTCGAACAGGTCGATTTTTAATTTAAAAAATACATATTTTAGCATAAAAGGCGATTTTCAACCGTCATTTGTTTTCGAGTAATGACGTCATCGACATTTTTTTAAATAGCAACTCCCTATTTTTTTTCTTGATTCTGAAAGATCGTTTCATTGTCGATCCGACAGTATTAAAATGTTGCCATCTTACATAGGAAAGTTTTCGATTAAATGACAATTGAATGTTAGAAAACCCAAATCAATTAAAATAAAGCAAAAACGTTATCAAATTTAGTTTTTCGAAATGCCTGAAGTTTTTTATGGATCACGTAAGGTGTAAATCCTTACAAAGTATCACTGTCATACCGACAGACTCTAAGTATTGTAAGCGATATAAAAATTGTTGTTGCATTTAAAGTATTATGGCACATTTAACTATCACACAAAGAATTGAAATTTTAATTCTTATTGGATGCGGGGATAAGACTAGAACGCAGCAGGAAGTTTGAGATTTATTTAATGAGAAACATCCAGATCGCCGTATCAGCCAATCAACAGTCAGTAAAATAGGATCTAAATTTAGAGAAACTGGCAATGTTGTAGATATTCCAAAACCTGGACGCCCAAGCGTTAGTGAAGATCACAAACAGAACATTTTGATAAGTGTGGTAGATAATCCTCATAATACTTCAAGATTAGTTGCATTAAACAATGAAGTTAATCAGACCACAGTGCTATGTATCCTGAGGAAGGAAAAATATCATCCCTACAAAATTCAACTTGTGCAAGAACTCAGTGAAGACGAACCCGACCGCCGCTTACACTTTTGTGAAATTATAATGGATTTATGTCAAATAAATAGAGATTTACACCGGCAAATACTTTTTTCGGACGAGGCCACGTTTTGTCTCAATGGTACAGTGAACCGTCAAACTTGCAGGTATTGGAGTAGGGAAAATTCTCATTGGATGGCAGAGACACATACCCAACACCCACAGAAATTAAATGTGTGGGCTGGAATAGTTGACAACAGAATAGTAAGGCCTTTCTTGAACCCTTACAGGACAAACATATTTAGAGTTTTTGACCTTGTTCCAGCGCTTGCAGTAATTTTTCCTAACGATAGTGACCCTGATATTCCTGATGACACCACATGGTTTCAGCAAGACGGTGCACCTCCACACTATGCGCGCCCTGTTCGAGATTTTCTGGACAATTGTTTTCCTAGGAGGTGTATCGGCAGACGAGGACTGATAGAATGGCCCGCGAGATTCCCAGAGCTTACACGCCTGAACTATTTCTTATGGTGCTACTTGAAGTCCAAAATGTACGTTAATAGACCACATAATTTAGAAGAACTCCAAAATTATATTATAGATGAAATACACAGAGTTACCCCAGAAATAATTCAAAATGAGCAAGAAGAATTTCTACACAGACTTGCGTATTGTCAAGAAGTCGGTGGGTGGCAATTCGAACACTTAATTTAGGTAGAAAACTTAATGAATTGTATATGCTTGACATGGGAATTGTAATTTTTTTAATGAATAAAATTCACGTTTTCTAACATTCAATCGTCATTTACTCGAAAACTTTCCTATGTAAGATGGCAACATTTTAATACTGTCGGATCGATAATGAAACGATCTTTCAGAATCAAGAAAAATAAAATAGGGGTTGCTATTTAAAAAAATGCCGATTACGGCATTACTCGAAAACAAATGACGGTTGAAAATCGCCTTTATGCTAAAATATGTATTTTTTTAAATTAAAAATCGACCTGTTCCGAGGATTTTTCCCAAAATAAATTTGTTTCGTTTTGTGTATAAAAGACTTTCCCTAATTTTTTGTGATTTAAGCAAATTCCCTGAAGTTTTACCAACTGATTTTTCACAAGCTAAGATCTATTGTAGAAAAATGTACATACATCGATAAAATAAAAAGATAAACGGTGCAGATGACTAAATATATATTCAACTGAGCCATAACTTCTTCAGTCACGCCATTTGATGGGTGGCTTGTCACAGGTAACAGCAGGTACGGCGCTTCTTAGGTCCACAACAGCCAAAACTTTTCCCTTGAAGTAGTAAAAGTAATTGAAATATGAACTGGAATTCGTGTCAGCAGATAATTTAACTCCTAACGAACAAAAAATGTTAAGTGTCGTACTGGGCTGTCACAAATAAAAATACGTTTTTCTTCGCATTTTTGTCCCTGTAACTCGTTTGATAAAGCACATATGACATTTTCATGGATCGTTATAAAAAAAGTAGCAATGGTAAAAGTAGAATTGAACTATAAATCCTTCTAAAAGTCTATTAAAAATATCCCAACTAACAGGCCGTGACAAATCAAAGACATTGTAACTTAGGATACGTGTAGATAATAAACTACAAATGCCTCATTGGACGAGAAAATACTTTGTCGGTTTTTATGCAGTTACCAAAACGTTCAATTTACTTTTTTCTCATATGGAGTATTGGTATTAGTATTGTAGACTCACTCTAAATCATACAAACTACTCCTAAAATTGCCTTTAAAGCCACTTCGTTACTTCCGCTATTAAATAGTAGTTATAACTCTAGATACGTATAAATCACAAAATCACTCGTTAATGAATTTAGTTAACTATTCAACAATCTTGAATTATTTTCATTTCTGGTACTATGTTCTTTTAATAATTAAACATTTTGTCCTCAGGTACCAAGAAAATGGAATACAAGACAAGGCAGTGGCACGAGAAGTGTTTCTGCTGTTGTGTTTGCAAAGTTCCAATTGGCACCCAGAGCTTTATTCCACGGGAACAGGAAATCTACTGCGCCAAATGTTACGAAGAGAAATTCGCTACGCGCTGCATTAAGTGCAACAAGGTAAATATTAAAAAAACTTTAGTTTCATTTAGATACTGTTTGTTCCTTAGTCAATTATTTCAATTTTTACCAATTGTATGTAAAAACTGAAATTTAACATAAAAATATAGTTTAAAAAAGACAGCAAGATTACCAGTACAATAACAAGTAAGCCCAGATTACATTTAAGTAGTATAATAAAGTTAGCCTTGACATGAAGCTGTTTTTTAAATAATGTTTCTATTTTAACAACAATAATTTTACTACAATGCCAAATATTATTATGACATGACAGTAATTACCAAGAAATTCATACTCATATTGAACAAACACGATAAAAATATTGAATATACACGCTATTTTTTTAATGACGCATCCTCCTATAACTTTTATATTCGGATGTTGCTAAAATTAATGCATAAAATATTAGTGGGGGGTGGAACACCAAATAATAAGACGATTTTTTTTATGGACTATGTGCTTATATGTAGTATTTTGTTTTTGAGGCATTAGAATTTCATATAGGAGTTGTTGAAAGTGCCAATTACGCCAGCGTTATTAGTTTTTGACTATCTGCTACAGGTCGCTAGTCACTACCTCTATCAGTGACATTTTATGAAATAACTTTTTCAAGGTTATAGATGTGGTACAGTATATGTCATCTTACAATATAAAATTCACTTTACCCAAAAAAATATACTTCTGTTAAAATTGCTGAAAACGCACAGTTTTTGAGAAAAACGCAATTAACAGCCCCAAACTCAATATATGTATATACACAGGTTCCGTTTAAAAAATGTAAGTTAGGCCTATAACTCGAAAAAGTTACATTCAATTGTCTTTCTGATATATGTATTTTTTGAATCATATATATTTTTCTTCGTATCTCGAATAATAACGAAGAAAAAGAAGAGGAAATTTTCGTATGACCACCCTTTACATAAGGAATGGATAGATAGCTGGTTGCCTTTGACAGTTAATTCGTTTTTCGCAAAAACAGTCCGATATTGTGATACTTTGTGATACAAAGGTACTTTTTTATGTAAAATGAAATGTTACCTTACGACATACATTGTAAAAAACTAACTCTAAATCAGTTATTTCTTAAAATGTTACTGGGAAAAATAGTAGCTATAGTAGGATCATATTCGATGCAAAGTAATAAATCATTGCCTGTCAAGGCAACCAATGAAGTACGCTTTTAAGGGTTTTACAAATTGAATAATTTCTTTATACATTATGAAGGGACGAGGGGATCAGTTCAGGTCTGGCACCCTTGTTCCTACAAAAATTCCTTTATTCTCATAAACTATTTATTTTAAATGTAATTTATTATAAATCCAATTTGTTTCCTAAATTCCACATATGTACTACATTTTACCTCTGTACGCGCCACTGTTGTTTACTTGTTTTTTGGAAGCGCTCTCTAATTGACGGCAAAGCTCGCCAGGTTAGTATTTGACGTATAACCGACCAGTTCGTACACTCGATGCACCTGGGCGACTACAGCTACTACCAGAACACAATGCGTATGCAGCAGTATTTCATATTTTACATTGAATTTCATTTTAAATTAGAAATTATTTATCTTACGCCTCCTAAAAATGATGACACGATTTTCCTTTGATAAAAGACCGACAACTTTTTGCTCTACTTTGCATCGAATACGATCCTACTATAGTAGTCTCTAATGGATGATCAAAAACTAACAATAATGACATATTTAGGTCTTTCAAAAACTTACCTGTAACAAAATTCATTGCAATATGTTTTTTGGAAAATATGTAAAAATTTGATTTTAAAAAATCATATTTGGCGCGCTGCAACTCAAGAATTGTAAAACTGAGTAGATTGTCTGTCAAATTTGATTTCAGACAAAAAAGGACATTTTCAAGACATTTTAAATTTTTTTACTAAAGTACCTTGTAATATGTATTTCATCATTGTTTCATTTTCGATCGTTCTGTTCAAAAAGTGGTAAAATATATTCAATACTAAAATTTATTAATGAAAATGTAAATTGCGAGAATTTGTAAATATACCATGTGTTGACTTTATTTTATTTTTTCTTTAATTCTTTTAATTAAATATAAATGAAAGGCTAAAACCCGTTTCACACAGGCGCTGATGGCTAGGGATCTTGATCATCAGCGTTTCAAACGGATGCTGACGATCAGCGAACTAATAAAACAAGGTCCAGCATGTCTAGGTTTGCAAACGGCAACAAGTTTTGATCGACAATTTATCGCGCATTGGCATGCAGATGATATCTAGAGCTAGCCCATACCGATGAAAATCAACGTGTTGACCGTCAGCGGCTATCATTTCATATAAACGCTGATGACTGCTGGTATTACAATATCGAGTTTGTCTAGGTAACTGGCAACAGTACTAGGAAAACTTTTTTATTGTACTGACAGACAATACGCTGATTTTGGTCAACGTGAGTTCATACCTTGTGTAGTTTAATCATATCGTTATGTTTAAGGTATATTTTTACGTAAATTCACCACACGAAAAATCACAATTGCGCAGGAGTATCTGTCAGTTTTTAAGTTTAAGCCTCTGTTGTCTTATAAGTCGTAAATATACTATAATTTATTTTGCAACTGTTTTATTAGCGGCTCATGTAAAGAAAAAAAACGTCAGCGCGCTGATCATCAGTGTCTGTCTGACACAATCCTATTCTAAATAAATGTCAAGCAGTGTTGATTTGCTTCAATATAAAGGATTTTGATCAGTAATTGGTACATTTGTAGGTTTGAAAGATTCGTACTTACTTTTGAGGAAAATTAATTTTTAAATTGAAAATTAAAGGAAAATATGCGTACATTTGGGATGAAGTTAAGTTTGTTTCTCAATATGAAATATTTTATTCTGTATTATTTTGTTTGAAAAACTTAACCATTTCATATGTAATGAATCCATAAGAAGCCATTTTTCTCAACAAACAAGCATTTCATTTAAAAATAGTAAGCGACCTTTTGCTGTAGAATAAACTGTAACGTAAAAAAAATATATTCATTTTGAAAAATTTCCAGTGGCGTAGAAATTATATTAAAAATAGGGGTAATCAAAGCCCCTATGATCGATAGAGCTTTTCATTCATACACTGCATACTAAATATAAAACAAATAGCTTTCATAGTTTAAAAAAAATAAATAAATAAAAACCAAAAAATATATTTTTTTTCAAGATCTTATATCTCTTTGGAAGAAAAAGTGTATACTTCAAAATAACATTACTTTGACGAGATCTATCGATGGTTAAAGTCCTGATCATAAAAAGTGAATCACCCTGTATATATTTAATATGGTTTTAAGTTAAGGATTATTATTCTGTCCAGCAAAATATAAACAAACAATATTATACTTCATACAGGTACAGTAGAGAAATATTTAGGAAGTTTAAATAGGACTGAAGTCCTTAGATTGATCAAGTACCGCAATCAATGTTCTTGTTTGCCCAAAATGGCGGTTTTTCCATTTACATAAAAAAACTTAAAATTTAATTGTTGCAGTTTTACAGATAAAAATATTGCTTAATGAATGAAAATATGTGAAAATTAATAGCCTAATATTGTATTGAAAATTCAAACTTATATTTAGCAGGGATTTTGCCCCAAAATGGTAGTAGATTGCAGTACAGTGAAATCTCTGGGCGGACACCAACGGGACCGACTGAAAGTGTTGCTTCAAAAGAGGTGTCCGCGTAAAAGAAATACGAAAGAAAAAAATCGTTTTTTTTTATGAAAACCGTAATTAAATAAATTGGGACATTTAAAACGTATATGTATGCAAATGTTTTTAAAATGAAAAAAAAAAAACTTAAAACTTATGGAAAAAATAAGGATTTGTTACCTTACAAAATACATACAAAATATAATAGAATATAGTAATATATAAAATGAAATGAAATGTCACTTTAATGACGCAAAAATTCATGTATTGTTGTTTGTCTCTTTTTCTTTAAATGGCGTTCAGAAATCGTATTTCTAATTTGGAAAGAAGCTCCAAAGACTCTGTATCTCCGTGATCTTCGGCAAAATGTTTAAGCTGATCGGTTAGTATAATAGCTTCACCATAATTTGAAATAGCCTCTGTTGATACTGGAACCTCATCGACATCAGAATCTTCGGAAAATTCTTGTATTTCAACTGGATTTTCAATTTCTAGTCCTGAATCTGGATTTTCAACATACCTACAATTTTTCATCTAGGTTTAAAAAATAATTAAGGTTTTCATTATCAGTCAGTTCCAACAAATGCTTATTTTTGGATCAGATGTAATATCCTCAGTTAACTGATCTTCATTTTGCATATTTTCATAGTTAAATCCTACTTTACGGAAGCAATTTTTAACTTTTTCCTTTTTATTTTGTTTTTTGTCTGTTTAGAATATTTTCTTGCGTCCGCGTTCGTTCAAGAGAATGTCCGTCCAAGAGAGAGTTAACAATGCAAATTATATGAGAGTCGATTGGGACCATGAGGAACTGTCCGTCCAAGGGAGGTGTCCGCGTAAGAGAGGTCCGCGAAGGCGAATTTCATTGTACTTGATCAAAAGTTTGAAGGAATATAAAGGATTTTGAAGAGTCCTATTGAATTATTTCAATGTTATCAAACTAGCAAGACTGATTTGAAGTTACATCGCATGCATAAACGTTTTTTTTTTCCTCTTCAGGTTATCACCAGCGGAGGCGTGACATACAAGAACGAGCCCTGGCACAGGGAGTGCTTCACCTGTACACACTGCCAGAAGAGTCTAGCGGGAGAGCGTTTCACCAGCCGCGACGAGAAGCCCTTCTGCGCCGAATGCTTCGGCGAACTCTTCGCCAAGCGCTGCACGGCCTGCAACAAGCCCATCACCGGCATCGGAGGCACCAAGTTCATCTCCTTCGAGGACCGCCACTGGCACAACGATTGCTTCTTCTGCGCCTCCTGCCGCACCAGCCTGGTGGGCCGCGGCTTCATCACCGACAACGAGGACATCATCTGTCCCGAGTGCGCCAAGCAGAAGTTAATGTAAATTAGAATTTTCAAATGTTCTTAGTAAGTATTTATTACCAACATTTAAAAAGTCGAATAATTTATACAATGCCAGACGGTTGTTTTATAAATAATGTTTTGATATGGAATCAAACAAGCAAACTATATAAATTATTTTTTTAAAATGTACCACACTACTACATACACACAAACACACACGCACACAAACACACGTTACACCTTAAAAAAAAACAAACAAAAAAACCCTTAAAAAAAAAGATGTAACATCAAAATTTCGATATGTGTATATTTATTTAAATTTTGATGTTTTATGTATGATAAGTAACATGTAATCATTTATATCTTTTGTTAAAGTTATTTTTCTATTTATATCAAGCCATAATTTCTTATAGAAGCTTATTTATTTTTTAAAATAGAGAATTACTATTTTGCTTTATGCTTTCCGACGTTAAATTTAAAGTAAAAAAGGAACGTATTATCAGTGGTTGCATTCTAAAATTAAATCTTAATGTTCTAAATTAAACATTTATCGGGAAAAAGTTGCCTTATTATTACAATATCATATACTAAGTGTTATATAAATATACGTATGTATTAAGAGCTAGATTTAAACATATTTATGGAAAATATTGTTATAATAATTATCGTATTTGATTTATGACAATTTTTTATGTATAACGCATTACTCTTGTTGTAGATAATATGTATACAGCTTTCATAGCATTTATGAAAAAGAGCAATTTTGGTGCTATTTCAGTAGTTTAGAAATTTAGTTATTACATTTTAATTTAGATTTACGAGATATTGTTGCAGACGTAATTTTTATTATCATGTAAAGCTTACAATACAATTATATTAACGAAATTGTTATTAATACTTGTTTAGAACTTAATATTTTATGTACATTTTAATCCTACCTATACATATGTTGTAACTGTTTTTGGAATGTTACAAATTGTTATGCTTTTTAAATCAAATGCAGGGCTTTGCTTTAGGGACATTGTTATATTTTATTCCTTAATAAATTCGTTAAAAAACTACATACGTTCTTATTTTCCCTAGCGACCCAAATGGAGGCTTAACTGTGACGGCCTAAAAATAGCGTGTTTTTAACAATTTTTTTTTTAATAGAAAGAAAGGTAATAGAAAAAAACTGTATTAAGTGTACAGAAAATTGTTTTCTTTAAAATATATTTCAAAATGGCGGCACTTCTGAAGCATGTTGCCGTCGAGGCGTTCCACGGCACGCACTAGAACTAGTACCAAACTTCAAGGTGGAACAGAAAAAAAAAATTGCTCTTAATCTACATGAGTATAGCTAGAGAAACATGTACGAGATTGTAAAAATATTGTTTTTTGTAAAATTGGCAAGTGTTTGAAGTAAAACGTTAAACTTTTGACGAAAACAGGGCTGTTATTTGTTTATAACAATTGTTTAAATTAACTTATCGAAAAATCCGTATGTATTTCTCTTCAAAATGTTGTTTTAAAATATATGGTTAAAATTTCAAAAGAAAATATTGAAAATTGTCGGAGTTATGGTGCGTGCCCTTTTCAAAAAGCGTGTTTCGAGAAAGACGCGTTTAAAGTTTTAAAATGAGTTTTAGACATGAATTTTGCTTGAATTGTACACGCATACTCCCTAACAACATCTATGAGTATATTAGAGAAGTTATAAATCAATAGGGAAGAAAGTACACGGTACCGTCAAACAAGGTTAAGTCGATAAAAAATAATGGTTTTGAAATTACCCTCAATTACTTACATTATTTTTTTTTTTTTAAATAATGTAGATTCTGTAGACAATCTTTCGTATGATAAGCCAGATTAAGTTTTTTTTGTGTGCAATATCTGCATTATTTTTTATTTGAAATGTGATCGACTTTACCTCTCATTTGTCAGGTAAAGGCGATCACTTACTTAGAAACATCGAAAATCAACTTTTCCCGTAAGAATGGGTAAAGTCGATCACGAAATATTTAAAAAAATATAAAAAAAAATTATTTGCGTATTTTTTTATGGAAAAAACCTTTAGAAGTATAAAAATATCCTTTATTATAAGTCCTTCTCACACAACCTTCAGTTTATAGCTCAAATAAAATAAAAAACATTCTCAGGGATAATATAAATCAAAATAAGAACTTTCTTTTAAACTTAACTAAAAAGAATAACATAAAAACTTTGGATAAAAGTTGACTAATAGCTAAACAGTTGACTATTTCTGTTCGGAGATTATTTTCGTCATAATTTTTTTTTCCAGATGCTCCAAGTTTCTTTTTATAGTTTCGAGGCATTTGCAATAAACGATTCACCTCTATTAAGTGTGACATTTGTCACCTTGTCCCCTAAGAAAATAATAATGATACGCCACTGCTATTAAGGTACTTGACGCAAAGAAGGCCTTTAGTTTTTACCAAACGAATCGACAAACATTTAAATTTGTAATGAAAATGATCGACTTTACCCCGCAAAAGTACAATTTTTGATATTAGTTGCCACATTTTTTCAACATGATGAAAACATTATTATTTTCTTATTGATATCTGTTCACAAATAACCAAACTATAAGAACACTAGCATGCAGAACCAGTATTGTGTACTACCTTGCATGTGAAACCAAACGATTTTGTATGTTTCATATCATGCTAAATTTAAGTTTTATAATTGTTAATTATTTTCTGAGTTCCTACTTTTTATTTTGCCGAACTTTCACACTTCTCAACACAACAGACATAAGTGCAAACCCCTTCACACATTACAACAATGTCATAACGCAGCAGTCTGATCACAGCCCAAAATATATTTGGCTGCGCGCGGTTGGTTGACTTTACCCCTACTAGTCGACTTAAACCCGTTTGACGGTACCTTCCGAGTATGTTCATAGTACATGTAGCCATATGAAACGCCCGAAATTAAAAAAAAAAACAATTTCATGTACTACACATTTGGCCTCATATTCTTAACCCTTTCACTGCTCCAGACGTATATATTCGCTAAAAATTTATAGGGCTCAAACTGCTCCAGACGGATTAATTCGCTTGAATAGTTAAATTGGATCAGGCTGCTCAAACCGTATATATTCGCAACCATGTGCATTAGTGACTCGATTAATGCAAAAAAAATTTTTTTTATGAATTTTCATGTCTAAAATTTTAGTTAATTTCTAGCTTTCATCATTTTTGAAATCTATAATTTTTTTTTCAACGAAAACACGGACAAAAAATAATTGTTATCATACCATTTCCACTGAGCTGAAATACCTGCGGCAGTAATAGAAGATTGGGGTGGCCTTAGCTTGGCAATTTGCTTGCCCCGCCGTCACATCACCTATCCTCCGGCTGCCTTTAACTCTCCTCAAACCTACCTCACGTCCTTCTGAACGCCCCAGATTTTGATCCATAGCAGGTTCCTCACCTCATCCCCTTGCAACTCTTCGGTACCAAAACCTTTACACCTCAACCTCCCAAAAACTGTGCAGTGCCTCAAATCCCCATATTTCAGGCAAAAAGGAACCTCTTCAATTAAGCTTAAATGCCTACTAAGTTTACAATGACCCCCACTATTTGGTTTAGCGCTTTTAGATCAAGGCTCAGCATCCTAGATTTGCAGATAAAAATCATCTCTACACAGTTCCTTACCTCCTCTTTACTTCCACCATCAAAATAGTGAAAAGACTGTGGTTTATCTACCTATTGAAAAATTTTCCTATGTTCCACGTATATTCCTGCTACTGAATACTCAACTCCCACCCGAGATCCATAAGTATAGTATACTGGAGAACATATCATCTTCCTACCGCTACTGCTCTCTCGAGAGGAAGGTGGTGACATTCTAACCTAAGCCGGTCCTCTGCTTCAATGACTCTCATGGCAGATATTAGAATATCCCTCTCCACTATGGGCTATGGCAGTGTGAGTTTCTACTCATCCTTCTGCCTTCCACCTGTGTATCCTTAGGTATATTGCCATCATCTCCCTCACAATCCACATAGGAAGGGTTGACAGCCCTGGGAGGACCTCCAGTGTGGCTGTTGGAGTCGTCCTCTTCTCGACAGGCAACTAATACACTTAATTTCGGTCCAGGTATTCACCTCTGGTCAAAGACTTCTATTTTGGTTATAGAACTGTAAAATCCGAGAGTTAACGTTCAATCTCGTTCCACCAATTCTTGAACACTATTGTTCTGTTTAGGTTCTGACATCTGGCCTCTCCGAATTCAGGTATGACTTTTGACCACCCGGTCATGGAATCTGTTATTCTAGATTTATGTAAGAAAAGTAATCCTGACGTTTCCGCGGTAAAATTCGAAACTAGAGTGAAATTTTAAGTTCCGTGTCAACAGCATCAGGCTCCCCTGATATCTTCTGCTGCGATTTGAGGTTTTCGGAGCGGTTTTCGGACAGTTTTCTACGCATAGAAGCTCTACAAACGACTTTGTAGATCAAATTCAAAAGTTGAGTGAAATTTTGAAATTTCCTAGTCAATTACAATAGCTGATACACTTAAATTTTCAGTCAGTCAAATGAACTTACGAGATGTACATCAAACAAATTATATCAATTATTCATAAGTGGAGAGCTATTATTTTAAAACAGATTTATTTTAAAATTTGACTGCACAACTGAGCCCATCAACAAAATAGCATCATTTTGATGGGTGAAAGGAGTGGGTAATTCACAGGATGCGCAGTGTACATATGTATATGTCTTCTCTACCTCTTTTTAAATATACTATAATATGTATAAGTATATACTAAAACAATATTTTTTTAAGTAGAATTGCGTTGCTTTGATATGAAAATATCAATACAAATGAATACTTTTTGACTTTTTGAAGACATCAAACTAACAGATGTCAGAATTTCGAATTTGACCTGAGATCGACCTCTATATAAAAAAATAGCTTTAATAATTTTTTTTAGATAAGTATTATTACTATTATCATTACACACACGGTGTAAAGCTGGTTACCTGCCTATTATCCAGCAATCATAATTCACAAAATAATAATAGGTATTAATTTAAATTACCTTTACAACTTATTATTTATAAAAACAATCAATATTTATCTCTAGTTTATCTATTATATCAATAACAATATATTTATTAAACACGAGGCTAAGTAAATACCTTTATTATTTTGTTAGAAAGGTAAGACGTATAATTAAATGTAAATTTTATGAAGGTCTAACCACAACATCCTAGTTCCTTATCTTAATTTCTACCAGCCAGTGGTAGTTTTATGAAAATATTTTATATCTTAAAAGCTTTACTCTAGCTACAATAAAACACCTCGGCTGCCTATAAATAACTCACCTAAACCGCAACAGCAAGATAAAATATAAAAATTAAATATTGAATACCCACATCATGCTAGAATAAATGTGAAACTGTGAAACTTTTTATACCCATCTACCACCAAATTAAGTTTGTAGCCTCAGTATGAATTACTTACATAGTTCACCTACTTCCATTAATTATTTCTAATTATAGAACCGGTAATTATTCAAGGATATGCCAACATGTAAATATTTCGTTATCAGCGTGCAGTTTTGTTGTTATCAAATTATCAATGTGTGTTGGTTGATGATAATTTTATTTGAACCAAATTTTTTTAAAGTGCGGTAGGGTTTTTCTGAACTTACCCGAGGTTGTCACCCTGCACCCTAATTTCATGACATTTGACATTTTTCTTGATAAATGTTAAGAGAAACTGTCACTGGCGTTAAATGTAAACGCCAGGAATTTATTTTATAAAATGTTTTAAGTGTAGGATTTACTTTAAGTAAGAATTAAAAAACGTTCCTGATAGAGTACTTATTAATTATGTAGACTGTGCCGCGTTTAGAAATCGATTTCTCTTAGTTTCTTGATTAGTGAAATATTTATTAACACCATGTCTGGTGTCTTTGGATATAGCCGCGAAGCTGTGAGGGTTAAAGTTAGGGTAAGTACTTAAAAGTAATTAGAAAACATTTTTTCATTCACCAAGTGATATTTTTAGAAGTGTGAAGGCAGCCAACCTCCGGAGATGAGAAAGTTTAGCGTTGACCCACAAATAACATCTTTCGAAGTCTTACAGAGTATCCTCGGAAAGGCTTTTGACTTAAAGGGGGATTTTACAATTTGTTATCGAGTGTATGACGTTAATGGCCATGAGACTTACATGCCGCTTTTATCGGACTGGGACTTGGACGCAGCATTTTTAAAGTAACATAAAAAATTTGTATACAATGTAAATAATAAATCTGTATTATTTATTCATTTCAGGGCACATAATACATCTCTAGCCACTAACTCTGAACCGTGTTTATGTCTACGGGTGGATTTGAAGCCATTCGAGGAATGCTCAGATGATTGGGAAATAAAACAAAACGTTCCTATTATTACGCAAATTCGAACAGCTACTAGTCAAGAAGCAAAACCATCTCCTAGATTGCACGGCATTTTTAATCAGGTATGTAGAAGGAAAAGTATCCTTGAGCATTTATAATATTTTGTAATGTTTATACTACTTCACAACTACAATTTTTGTTTAAATCACTACAGCTGCAAAGAATTTCTCATATTTTAAATGTATTTAACTTGGTATTTACATAATTAAAATTTGATAGTCTGTAATACCCTTTGAATTTTATCACGATATACAAGGTAAAAATGAATGAACCGTGGTGACAACTTTTCTGCAAAGCAGTCGACCGTTCTGTTTCATTAATTTTGTCATCCATTTTAAAATGTAGTATAGGTATTAAATCAATCAAAGCAATTTATGACGTCTGTATTAAAAATTTTTATACTATTTTGTTTGTCTTAAGTAATGGTGAGATATATTTTTTTACCTAGTTGAAATGTTTATCCAATTTGCTATAAGTAAATCTGTCTTCGCCCACATTTATTATGACAGTAATATTACTTACAACAATCTTAATAAATTTATTGGTTAATAAAAATAAATGCCTTTATCTTCAGTTTTTGTGGTTAATGCTCTTATAATTAAATCAATTTTATCTGTTATTGGTTAATTAAAAAAATTATTTGATTAAATTTTAATATAGGTGTGTATAACAGTGTTCAGTATTTTTTTATACCATTAAGATTTAGAAACTTATATGTAGATACCGAGGTAGATACATATTTTTTAGATGGGTAGGACATTTAACATGGTGCAAAGAGCATTTAATTTTGGCGAAGACGGCAACACTTCCTTGCAACCTCCTAGACCACCACTATCAGACTCTGAGTTTAGAAGATTTCTAGATCCTGTTGGTCAGATAATTTACACAAAAGAACTTAGGTCCGTTATTTACTTTGGAGGAATAGATCCTAGCTTAAGGTAAAATAATATTCCTTAAATGTATAGTGTAAATTTGAAATTTGTGAGAGTGGAAGAATGAATATCATGTAAATTTTAAGGAAAGTCGTTTGGAAGCATTTATTAAATGTGTATCCGGAAGGAATGACTGGGAGAGAGCGAATGGACTACATAAAGAAGAAAGCGACGGAATATGTAGGATTAAGGGAGACATGGAAGACGGCAATTGCTCAAGGTCCAGTTGTCGGCGAATTGGCCTACACCACTGGAATGGTAAGGAAAGATGTACTGAGAACCGACAGGCACCATCCGTTTTATGCTGGAAGTGACGATAATCAAAACATAGCCTCACTTTTTAATATTCTAACAACGTAAGTGTTTGATTTTTTATTGGAGTATTACAATTTACATTTTTATTATTACTTGCTTCCCATGTATCTATAATAAAAAAACAACTCGATAGTTTCTTATAATTCATAATAGAATAATGAATATGTACATTATTCAAAATATTATAATGAGGTTTTCAATGACGTTCAAATTTAGATCGTCATAGAATTTACGCAAATCTGGAAATCTATTGCCTACACAAGTATGTCAGAACACGATCGCAAGCTGCCAATTTGTGAATTTTTACTCGAGTTCTAGGGATTTTTTTTTAATAAAAAAAATGTCTCAATGGGCTCATTTGGCATATTTTTTTTTTTATTTCATATTCAGAGAGTACATCTCATAGTTAATACGTAAAAAATAGTGATGTAAAATAGCATGCTATTTAGTTTTGGGTGATATATATCAAAATATATATCATTATATATATCAGATGAATTTTGTTAAAAAAAAACTATATTCAAATTAGTTTTTTTATATTGCTAATGCCTTGCTGATTAATTTGACACCAAATACATGTCATATATATGAACTTTAAGAAAAGTTATCAAGTGATCTTTATTTTTTTTCATATTTAGATTGGAATTTTATATTTTTTTTATCATACTGACTTCTAATTTTTGTTGCGTGCTACTGACTGTTTATAAGCAAGTACGCTGTTTATTAGCAATTTAGTTTTATCAACCCAGAAATAAAAAATGGGAAATTTCTAGAACAAGAAAATTTAGTCTTTGTATATCACAATACGTACTTAAAAAAAATTAAAGATAAAAATTGAAATAAAAATTATCAAAAACTTATGATAATAAAGAAACTGCTTTAAAGTAGTACTTAAAAATCTGAAAATTTAGGGGTGTACTATAAATGGGGAGACCTAAGAGCGCACGTAATTTCAACTCACCCCTTCCACCCTAGGGGGTGGGGTGAAGGTTTTTTTTAGACGTACCCTATTTATTTTGCGATTTTCGGATTGTACGCGTAAAACTACCCCCAGAAACGCGTTCTTGGGGGTACGTCTAAAAGACCACCCCTCACCCCCTCTGCACCTACTAAGGTGGAAAGGGCCAGTTGAAATCAGGTTCGCTCTTAGGTCTCCCCACTTATAGTACACCCCTAAAATTTCAGATTTCTATATTTATTTTTGAAGGAGAAAAATGCTCATCGAAAAAACGACAAAATCCATACGAGGGTGGTGGTTTGGTTTTTGTGCGAATTCGGCAAGAACGCGCTTTCGGGGGTAGTTTTACGCATAGAATCCGAAACTCGCAAAATGAGTAGGGTACATCTAAAAAAACCACCCGTCACCCCCTAGGGTGGAAGGGGTGACTTGAAATTACGTGCGCTCTTAGTTCTTCCCATCTATAGTACACCCCTAAAATTTCAGATTTTTATATTCATTTTTGACGGAGATATTCCAGGTACCCAAGAGCTACTACAGTCCAACTCAAGCCTACCACACCACAAGTTTTTAGTTTTAAAATGTAAGGTTATGTTTGAAATTTGGCTTTATTCATGAAATGGCGGGAAAATTGATATATATCAGCTATTAACATAAATATAATAGCTGATATGTATCAAAAATTGATATATATCAATTTGTTATATATTTTCACTCACATCACTAGTAAAAAATTAGAATTTTTGTTTAAAAATTTCTCGTTCAAAATAATTAAAAAAAAAAACGGATCAAGGGAAAACAAGTGGAAGCCATATTGAGATGTCATACTACTCATTAGCGGCTAGCCCATAAACTTGGTTAATTAAAAAAGAAATGTCAATACAAATTTTGATAATGACGAAAGATTGATCTTTGAAACATTAGCTATAATTGTAGACACTGGTGTAAGAAGGGAATAAGTACCAATATTTAAATTGTTCAGGAAAAAAAGAATAATTTACGAAAGTAGAGGAGAAGACCAGAATAAGTAACATTCAAAAGGTTTTCCCATATACAAAATGATTACTAAAATAAATAATATTTAAGATAAACAGATGGCCAGAACAAATAGTGCAAAAAAACCAACACATAGGTGGTGCAAGGAGGCGATAAGCATAATGTAACTTGTCCCATTTCTGCATTAGTGTATAGTCTGTGATATATGTACTCTTGTCTTCGGGTTAAATTTCTATTAAGCCCCCTGATTCCATATTTATACCAGATGAAAAAATAATAACATATATTTGCAGAATTGTGATTTTTTGAAAACATGGACTTATCCCAAGGTCTTCAATTTGAAGTGTGTGATATAGTGATGAATATTTTTTTACTTGTTTGGTAGTTTCAATTAGTGCTGGAAAAAAACAAAAAAAGTGAAACCGGCTAACCGGTTTCCCTAAAAACCGATTTCAGATAAAACCGGTTAGCCGAATAGTAGTTAAAACCAGATATTCAAAAACCGAATAACCGGTCACTACAATAATGGCCAAAACCGGATATCTGAAAATTAGTGTTTTGAAAAACTGATGGGATATCGTTGTTTTCACATATTTTAAATTTTAAAGTTAAATCTAATATTAAAAGTTAAAATGTTAAAACAGTTAGCACTTAATAAACTGTGGTTCTTCAATTTATTATTTATATAAATGGGTTTGGTTGTTTGGTGTATGTGGGCATGGGTGTTTGTTTTTTTTTATCAGTCTATGCCTGTATCCCAGGATAAAATATAAAAATAAATTGTATTTCCCTTAATAGTTCAACCTAATATTTGTAGTAGGTATCTACTATGTATGTACTATGTAGCCAATATCAATAACTAAATAACACTAAGACTACATTATAGTGCCATGTAGTTATTGGCTATAAAGAAAGAATCCGTTTATTCGGATGTTTAAATTAACAGATTTCGGGTTTCGTAAAAATCCAAATTATCCAAAACCAGTTAACTGACTATCCAAGAAACCGATTTCAGTTGCCAACACTAGTTTCAATGGCTGATTTTTGGTTAAGCACAAATAGTTTAATAAAAATAAGCATTGACTGAGAGTCTTCATCAGTAATTTTTTGAATTTTTGTCACAGGTGGAAAAATATCAGTAAACAGAGAAAAAATATACGACTATATCACGAATATATAACTTTAGACATTAATTAGGTAAAGTGATGTGATCACAGATGCTTTGTGAACAGCTTGAACTGTTTCAAATATTTTACGAATTACAAATTCTTTATCAGTTAATATTAACGCTATCAACCTGATTTTTTCATTACATATTTGTGGAGTTACACGTACTTATGGAAAATGTAAAAACAAGTTATAAATTAAGTATTACTGCATGAGCCCATTGTTAATTATTTTTTTAAATCTGCACATTTCTATTTCGAAATATATTATTATATTTAACATTCCGTCAATTTTAGATATGCGCTGAATCACCCGAAAGTAAGTTACTGCCAAGGAATGAGCGATCTCGCATCCCCCCTTCTCGTTACAATGAATGACGAAGCTCACGCCTATATTTGCTTTTGCGCACTTATGCAAAGGCTGTGTACAAATTTTATGATAGACGGCATAGCGATGACACAGAAATTCACCCACCTAGCCGAAGGCCTGATGTATTACGATCCTGAATTTTATAATTACTTGAAACTTCACCAGGTAAGCAAAAAAAAAATCTTACAGGATTTCATTGATCCATCCGATACAGGCTACAATGTGCCAAAATTTGAGAATATTTTTTTACACATTAGTACCTCAAAAAATTATGTCCCAAAATTTTTGTATATACGAGGTGATTCATAAATAATGTAAAGACATACTTATTTTGGTTATAACATTTGTGAAAATTAAATTAGCACATTACTTATTTTTTTATTGATGTTTCAGGCTGACGATTTGCTATTCTGTTACCGCTGGTTACTTTTGGAAATGAAGCGAGAGTTTGCGTTTGAAGACTCTCTGCGAATGTTAGAGGTTCTGTGGAGCTCACTGCCGGCGGATCCACCCGAGAAGGAACTAAAGTTATACGATACACTCTTCCAACTACCCACTATTTCGACGCCTCCCATCAGCCCTTTAGTCAAAACACCAAGAGAAAATCCCTACACCAAAGTATGCGCCTTAAGAAGACAGAGTTCATCGATATCACTAAGTAATTATAATTGTAAGAAGATGATTCAGGTTAAGCGACAGAACCATAGTCTAGACGATTCGATAAGTAAGTGTAGAAATAATATAGTAGACATTAAATTCAAACACCAAAGCCTAGACGATACCGCTCTGACCCGCAGTAGAAATAAAAGCAACGACGCTAGCCCCAAGTCCCCGAATAACTGTAGCTCAAACAAGGATGACTCCTCGTCAAAAAGTTCCGATCTGTTGCCCATCACGCCTAATTCACCGAAATCCCCTAGATCCCCCAAGATGGAACTCAGGCCTAGATCTGTCTCCCCGCTAGAACAAAAGTCCGATTCCGTAGTCTTGAACAATAGAATTAATACTCATCGAATATTTAAAGATAGAAGCGGTAGTTTGTCTTCCAGCATGTCAAACCTCATTAGAAACTCCAAAAAGACGGGTCACTTTAAAGAACTGAAGGAAAAAATCGCAGCCGCTAAATTATTCTCTTCCTTAGATCGACTGGACACCACGCACTCGATAAAAGAAGAGGAAGAGAGAAAACCGAGGGGGAAGATGGTGAAAAACTTGAACGAATTCCTCAACTTCGGTACCGTTAACAAAAATAAAATTTCCGATATGAATTTCGACACGGGTAGCGAGAAACCGAAGATAATGCTCACGAAATCCAGTTTCGACGATTCTGAGAGTTCCAGTTATGAACACAATTCCAATAGCACAGAAAAGACAAGGCATTACTCATCCACTTCTAACAGCTGCGAGGACACGTTCGATGAAACTAGTCCAGATGATTCGCAAGAATATTTCCCCATGACTACGTCGGTAACTCGAGAACTGCGACTTGAGCTTGAAAATTTAGACCGCAAAGTGTTTGGCGATAAGTATATAGACAGGCTTTCAGAGTCGCCATCTAGTGAGGGAAATAGCGATACTAAGACGGAAAAAGAGAGTATTGTCCAGAAGGTGGACATAGAAATAAACGACGCAAAAGAAATTTTCGACAAGAGAAAAAGTGATGATATTTTTGTGTGGGAGAATCCGTTACACCAGACGAGCCCAAATACTGCCAATAAAATTTCTTGTTACACCGAAACACCCGACGAGCAAGCCGACATTGAATACGATACACCTACAATAGTTAACGAGACCTCAGCGAGAAAAACCGTTACTCCCATCACGATCATCAACCATACCAGTAAAGAGGACATTAAATCCTTGGAAAAAATAGAAAATGAAGATTTGGAACAAAATGTACCCCCCGAACCGGTTCCCACTTTCCCTAAATTTAACAGCATTACAGTAAACGGAACAGCGCCAGGAATGACAAATTCATGCGAGGAAGTGACTGAATCCATAAAAACCTCTTCTCTGTTGCCAGCTCCCAATGAATTCGGCGGTGGTAACCCCTTCCTGATGTTCTTGTGCATAACCTTACTTATGCAGCACAGAGACCATATCATAGGCAAGGCGATGGACTATAACGAGATGGCGATGCATTTCGACAAGATGGTGAGGAAGCATAACGTCATCAGGGTCTTGAACCAGGCCAGACAGATGTACGCGAGATACATAAAACAGCACAGTATAGCTCAGCAAAAAATCGATTCGAGAAACGAGGACTGTTAATAGGAATTAATTTATTCTTTTCATGATTATTCTGTGATATTTTTCTTTATTCTTTTAGTTTCCGTGATAAAATGAAACGTGCCTACTTTTTTTCGGTTTATGGTTTAGTCGCTAATGTGAAAGGAATTAATCTTGCAGTTAAAAGATCCGATTTTTACTATATTGTCAAATTTTGGCTTCTTCTATTTAATGTTAATTCAGATATTGAGTACAGGCTACAGGGAAACCAGAAACTGTTCCAGACACACGGTGGCTCAAATTACAAAAAACAAAAAAGTTTACTATTTTGCTAAAAAACTTCCCCAAATTAGAACTGAGGTTTTTCAACAAATTCCAGCAATATGAAGAAATAACTAGGAAATGCATTTTTTTTATTTATGGCACAACTGATTTCTTTACTATAATTTAATGAAAGGTGGAGGGCCCCTAAGGTAGGGTTTTGGCCTAATTTATTTTTGGCTGAAAAAATTTGAAAAAAAATTTTTTTAGTACCTACTAGCAATACCACCCTAAACGGACCAATCCCCTCACCCTCATTTTCCCCTTAAATGAGATAACACACATTTACATTGAATAAAACGAAAAAGAAAAAATCTATAATTATACATACACGTTTGTGCATATTTGATTAGCCACTTTGAATTTTGTGATCCTGAATTCATAATTGTAATCAGTGATCCAAGAAAGTTTCTATAAACAAATGTTTGAGGATTACGATCTTTTTAATTTGTTTGTCCGCCATATGGAATACGTCATTTTGAATTTCGTAATTCTGCCTTCGGATTCGTAATCATAGATCCAAAAAACCAATTACAAAAAAATTCATGTATTTTGAAGACGTTTCAAATTTTTTGTCCGCCATATTGAATCCGCCATTTTGAATTTCATGATTTAGAGTCCATATTCGTAATCAGGGATCCAAAAAACCCCATTACAAAAAAATTCATGCATTTTGTAGAAGACATTTCAATTTTCTTGTCCGCCATTTTGAATTTCGTGACTGAGACCAGATTCGTGATCAGCGACCCAAAAAACTCTTCATATGTAAGATTCATAGAAACTGAATGTCTTTCGCATCCTCCAAGCTCTTTAAAGATTCCTCTAATAAGCGATGGTTTCCCCTGCATTTAAGCGAGGTGGGGGGTGCAGGGGGAAAGGAGGGTGAGGGGGTTGGTCTGTTTAGGGTGGAAACGATTTAGTATTGGTAGTAGGTACTAAAAAAAATTTTTCACATTTTTTCAGTCAAAAATAAAACCAGCCTTAGGGGCCCCTCCTCCTTTGACTTTTAGACATAAGAAATCTTACAGATTACAATGGTGAAGTCAAATTTCTCTATATGGCATTGGTTTTTTAAGATCTAGTCGTATTTGTTTTTTTTTTCAATTTATTCATGTCGTTGAATATGAAATTTCGTGTATGTGTGGCTGGATCTGTAATTTTTTTCTTAATTTAACCATAGGGAAAATCAATATGGCATCCACAAGAAAACGCCCCAAAAAAAGCAAGATTGAAAAATTCCGACTTCAATGTAATCAATGTGGTCTTAAATCTAGAAATCGAATTTGTGTCGTGTTTTCCAGTTTTATGTAATCTGAGCTACAGTATTCCATTAAACTTGAGACTTTCAAATTTACATCCATGTTCACTTGATTTTCTGTTTTCCCCTAAAAAAACTTTGATTGCATAAAAGGGTGTTTATAAACTCTGAAATTATTTTTTAAGAGTAATTATTGCTATATTACTAAACAAAAAATGTGAACATATTGAGAACCGCTGAAGGCGAGAGGGAATGACACATTGTACGTCATAGCAAGTGTTCGATGTGAGGCCTAGTTCTTGAATTGACAGGACAAATTCCTATGAAAGTATGAAAGTTATATAACATAAAAACTTAAGACTCAAACTTTGGTTTCTTACGATAGCAATGTTGTAACATAACGGCAGTAATGTGATGTCTTGTAGTATTACAGAAGACTGTCGTCCCTCTAATTTTTCTGCTGATTGCGTGATACAAAAATATGTGCGGGCAAAAATGTAAAAAAATTTTTTTGGCCCTCTAAATTTAATTTTTTTTAGTGAAATTTGGATTTTTGCCATTTTTCAAAAAATTTTTTGGCCCTCTAAATTTTATTTTTTTTAGTGAAATTTGGATTTTTGCCATTTTTAGATGCAATTTTTCTTTAAAATTAAATTTTGAAAGAAGCCCATTGTGCGCAGAATACAAAAACGGCTGCACAACTTTCGAAAGGAACTTGAACACGGATGTATAGCTAGGTAGAAGTGTGTCATGTGTATTTAGGTGATTTATTGTGGGTGAGATATAACCCATAAAATATGTCGTATATATGATTGCTACTCGATGCCTACTAGCATAAAGCATTACTTTGTATCTGCTGATAAGAGAGTGGCCTACTTATCTGTAGGTACTAATGTCAGGTAGCAAATATATTTTAGAAATGATATGTGTATGCTTTGTAGGTTATATCTTACACACACATTGAAAAATGTTGGTAGATCAATAAGCAAACGACAGCCACGGAAGCCTACAAACAAAACTACCGAAGGATGATCATCTAGCCCATAGAGTAGTTGTTTCACACAAGTTAAAACATGCTTTATTATTGACTCTAGTTTGTATTGTGAGAATTTTTTTTTCGCTAAATATTGATAACATTTTATACTATACAAATTTAATCAAGAATTTTGTCTCACGATCGTTGATATTCCAACTCAACTGTTTTCAACAAATAATGAATAGTTTACTGTCAAAATCCTAACCTTGCCATATTTTTACATAACAGTGATGTTTACCATACTCAAAAAACCCACATCCAGAACGTTTTTGCGATGTCATCAACTGTCATATTACTGTCGCTATATTTTGGCACCATCTGCCTCAACGTAAGAATTATCTTTGGGTTGTAACTTCTTTGTGCAGCTGCAGAATTTTGTCTACATTTATTGTATATCAAGAGTATATCAACCAATTAGTGATTACTGAATTATCGCCACTCGTAATGAAAAACTGACCACTAATAACAATAACACTTAATTACAAAAATTTTACCCAAACTAATATCAATACAAGGAAACACGAAGGAATAATTAATTTTAATGCGAGTAGTAAATGTTGAAACAAGAAACAGCCAATATTCTGACTATTGATATTTGCTGGTATTAAGTAATAAAAGAATGGTAGTAATTATGAACTTAAAAAGTGAATATTAAATTTAAATCATAATTAAAAATGTAATTGAACCTGACTGTTCTAGGTAGGTACCTATTGATTATTGTTTGCATATTTCTGAAGGTATTTATTTGTGGGATAGTTTTTATTTATTTCTTTATATTTTGGGTATTTGTCACCTGAATAAATTTCAAAAATTAGTCAAATAAATCGTTGCGAGTAAAGGATCAGTCAAGGGTTATTTTTATGAAAATAGTTTTGCTTAACCAAAAATCTTACACTGGAAAAAACAGTTTACATTTCGAAAATCTCTGTTTTTGTCTTTTAACTTATTCTGACTTCGTTTTAGCTTCTTTTGACAGTTTAAATTTGCTTTTTTCTGTTTCCTTAGCTAGAGATGTCATATGAGATGTTTAAGATCTCAAGGTTGGTTATTTTAAAATTCTTTTACAAATTCCGCTTGAAATTTTTTCATTGGGAAAGAAATCATCTGCTAAAAATAGTATGGGTCCCAGCTTCATTATCAAATTGTGACCACTTTAATTTTTATATTTTTATGAACCACCACTAAATTCATCTTAGCTAGACAGTACTGGACTTGAAATAAGTCTATGGNTCTATGGTAGTCAAACAATAGTGTGGTATTACTAAAATTTTTCTAGTTAAACAATCGTTAAAAGTTCATAAACACCCTGTAGTTTTATATTTATTGAACAAATTAGTTTTGCAACTCGGAAGAAGTCAAAATAATTTTCCTCTGATAGCTATTTTGTAATTCTCCCTTATTATTATGTAGGGTAACTGTCACAACCTCAACTGAAATAAGTAATAAAAATTATTATGGCTATACCAAATTTTGATTTACTTAATGAGGCATTCTCACAACGACCCTTAACTTGCTTTGGGGCTTCCTACTGGGTAAATTTCAGGAAAACCAGGAATTATTTGCCAATAACTATCGCAAAATTACAATAAATCACTTTTTATTGTATCTTTGTTCCACCAAAGAGAGAATTTGAATAAAAAATATTGCAAAACGTTTTGAGAATGCTCCTACAATTTATTTTTATACAGGTTCACTGAAACGTGTGATCATAATGTAGTAAGTTCTGAAATTTTATAAACTATTGCACCATTCATATATCCTGTAAGAGTGCACAAATAGTATCTTGCTATTATTTTTTTTTAGCAATATGTTCATAACTTGATTTTTATAAATACACTGCTCTACAACTCATAAGGGCTTCTTAGTAAAAAAATATATATAGCTTAAAATGGATAATCCAATAATTAATCTTATGGTTAGTGAAATACAATCGAAAAATGGACCAGTTGTGAAAATATTTTCTTTCAACGTTACCTTATTAATTTGTTGATCAGTGTATCTTATTTGAATTGTATTAATTTAGGGAAGTTAGTATAACTTTTTTGTCAGTATTTGTTACTCAATTTTTAGTTATAAAATACATTATTTAAAAAAAATATTTAGTTTTGTTCTGATCTAAGGGGCTGTGTACAAATTACGTAAGAGCAGAAGGGGGAAGGGGATGTACGAGAACCTGACGAAGAAAACAATAATTACATAAGACGATATTAAAGAAAATAGTTGCACATTTTAAAAAGTTCACGCGCTTGGCTCAATAAAGTTAAATTATTACATATTATTATAAAAAAACTGCCATTTAGATAAATAAATAATTATAATTAATAAACAAATGCAAATAACTATATGAGAAAAACAGAAGAATAGTTCTTTTATGTAACATGCTGTTACATAAAGTTCGATTAGAAAAATCTTACGTAAGAAAGGGGGAGGGGTTTTTGTAAAACTTATGGTCTCTTACGTGGGGGTGTGGGGGGTCAAATATTGAAACAAATACTTTTACGTAATTTGTACATGTCCCCCTAACCTTTCAAATATTAAATTTTCCTTGCAACGAAATATTAGAAGTATTAAGTTTAGTTGCTTATTTACCAAGCCAGAGGAAAATCCTATTTTTGGTTTGAACTCCAAGTTATGATTTTTTACATTGTGATTTCTATGTGATAGTTTAGGTATGGCGCTTTGGAAAAATATAAA